CTGTCAGATGCTGGGAATCATGACAACTACTATGGCAGACGACTACAGACTAGGTGCGTTCTACTTAGTCTCCCTGACAACTAGTCCAAGTTGCGACAATGAGGTCAACCTACTTCTATACAATTTTAGGCTATACTTTACCTATTGTTATTGAGGAAGTAAAAAGGCATAGTGGAATAAATTCTTGAAACAAACTAGATGACACACTAGGAAATTAGGCTCTTAAGAATCCTTCGATATATATCATTATGTCCTTCCGCTTATTGTCAGAAAATTATAAAAAACGAATCAAATATTGACCTCACGTAAGCGCAGGGCTACTGCGATAGTAATAGTTTGAATTATCATTTCAAACTCATCAGTTCTCTGTGCTCCGTACCTCGATTACAAGGCCTTTGTTCCGAGATCTTTCATGGCATTCGGAAGAAACACTTAGGGGAATAAAACAAACCTGCATACTCACAAGCCGGTCAACTAGCTCCAATGCTAGAGTCATATTGCGGCTCTGAATGAGAGGATTAAGTTTTCACTTATAGATAGGTCTTCGAGAAAACCATTAAAGCATATGTATAAGATGCATTCATCCAATTTCGTTGAAGGTGATTGAGAGTTGGTAGCTGAATTTTTCCCACAATGAGATGAGTAGACCATGCGTTTCCATTGAATTAGACCAAAGCGAGGTCTAAACTGCAGTCTATTCTGGATGAGAATACCGTTTGAGAAGCAGGGCTATGTGAAATTTAATGAAAACATGAGGCTTACTCATATCATTGTGGAAAAACTCAACTATCAGTCCTTCATCCCCATAAAGGAAATAGGGCAAATACTCTTCATATAAAGAAACACATTGTTTGGGCCGATCTTCGCAATTCGAAACGCTACGCAAATTTTTATATTACCACATCAAAACTCATTCCAGAAAGCGGTTGTACCACCACATTTACCAAAAAGTGAATAATGTTCAGGGAATCAAAATAAAGACAAGGGAATTCGCACGGTATGAAGAACCCTGATCATCATGCAGAATAATCTTTGCGATCCTGGCCATACCTGAAGAGTAGAAACACCATATTTCCTGAAGGAGCGATCCTGCCAGTTGGAAGTAAAAGAGTCACAGACCAGATACCCAGACAGGAGCATGACAGCACTTGTAGTCGTGAAGAACGTCTCTTTATGATCTGAGTCATTGAATACATACTCGCGAGGCTCTGATAGCAGAAATAGTGTCATGCCAAAGCTAATAAGGGCTGTAAATAAAAGGAAGGATAAAAATATATAAAAGTTTTCAATAAGCGTGTCATTAATTTAAGCATAACTTCAATGAATAGCACCCATCATAATTGCATAGATTAGTGCCTCTGAGGAGTCTTACCTATGGAATTTGAGACCAATGGATAAGGTTAAAATGATCTATGAACCTAAAACAATAAAATGGCCCATATGGCAAGCAAGGCGGAAATTTTGGGCTCCGATTGTCTTAGAAGAGATTCCAATATTCCTCTGTAACACAGTTCCTTCATTAATAAATATGCTGCATAATTAATTTCGCCTGATAAATATTCCATAAAGGAAACTAAAAAAACGAA